CCCCAAAACCCCAAAACCCCAAAACCCCATGAGATATTAATATTTGACAAAGGATTCTCAATATATTCAAAATAATGATATATTTTTCTGCACTATATAGGCTTATTTAATTCTAAGTTATTAATTTTAGCTAATCCTTATTAGTTCCACATATTTCCACATTGCATCTCCATTTGCTGAATACGAATGATAATTTATTTAAATAATCTCAAGTAGAACCTCAATAACTTTATTTCGTTGAAACACATGAATAAATACTTTACTGAGAATGAATATATAGAGTAAAGATGTACAGCTTATATAAATCACTTCAATGTCCATTTCAAGCTGATATTTTTATTAACTGCAACTCTTTTATGCTTTGAGTGCTATTGTGGTAAAAAAGCAGAAAATTAGCTTCTGGTTGGCTCAATTACATTCGGATTTCTCTATGCATGGAATTAATTTGTGAAAAGATAGCCAATAAAAGCCAGTGAATTCGAATCATTTGTTTGGTAGCCATCTTCAATTGTTTAAGTATTTATGGTAACTAGAGAAATAAATGAAAATATTGGAATCTTTCATCCTGCTCTCATATCATAGTCAACTTTCACAATAATTGGTTTAATTAATTCTCCTTAAGATTGGTTTCCTAAAACTATAAGCTTTTTCTTTTCCTTAGCGATCTAATCTTTCCTCTATTTATATTTTTACGGGTAAAATGGAGTAAATGTACCACTTTTAGAAGTTCCAATATACATACTGTTTACAAGCCTAATCATGGGAGTTGTGTTAAGAAGATCAGAAATATTTCACAGGGAGGAACTAAATAGAAAGAAAGCAGAGGTTTACTAGAGAGATAAATTCGTTAATGTACTACAACTGATTCAAGATGGAGTTCTCATCATCAAAAGTGATTAAGATGATACTTCTATTGTCTTTCAAAATGAATCCTTTCTAAATAAGATAAAAGATTACAATCAAAAGTTACTTGCTATATAGGACCCAAAGAGATCAGCAAGCCTTAACAAAATTAACTCTCAAGATAAATAGATAGCATAGAATCATATGATAGATCATTTTGTTGATAAGTTCTAAGAATTAGATGATAAGATTCTTTCACACATAAAGTATAATAGACTAGACTAAATCTTTAAAGGACTTATTTTTAGACATGAATTTACTTCCAATGAAAATGTAAGATATACATTCAGCCAGTTTTTGGAGATAATCAGAACTAATAAGGATGATAAGGAGCTTAAAGAGTACTACTTCAAAGTGGAACCAATAAATATTTCTCTCCATATCAATGTTAATAATCTCATTCAAGAAAGCTAAATTCTAATCGTTTTCAAAGAGGTATCTACGTACAAAAAGCTATAGAAAACTAAGCACAGAGAAAAATTTACAAATATCTTCATAAATTCTACTGCTCATAACATTTTCACTCCGATAAATGGGCTTATAGGAATACTTTAGCTCATATAGCAAGAATGCTAACGTTTTCCTACTGCAGGGAAGTATATTCTTTTAATGAGAACTTGTATATTTAATCTCTACTATACAACTCAAAATATCTTAGAACATTCTAAAATAAGACTAAAGCAATTTACTCCAGATCTAAAACCTGAATATTTAAAGTCAATTATAAATGACTTAGTTAATTTATTTCACTAAGACGCCCTGTAAAAATAGATTAAGATTTAATTGGATCTTCAGATAGATGATGGTTATTATATGATAGATTAATAGAGATTATGCTTAGTATTATTCAATTTGATTAGCAATTCTATTAAATTTACAGACTTTGGAAATATAATTGTTACTTGCTAGATCTTATCTAAGTTTGAACTATTCAATAAATTTTAGAGACTATTTACGGAGAATCAGTAATTATTTAGCCATTTAAAAAATGCAAGATTCAATCAAGAGATTCTTATGAGTGAAGATGAGGCATTTTATTACATTAGTATTGAAGATTCAGGTTAGGGAATGTAAAATTACAATTAAGAGGAATTGTTTAACCTTTTTCAAAAACTTAAAATCTCATCAGATAACATCAATTAGTAAGGACTAGGATTAGGACTTTCAGTCTCAAGTTAAATATGTTTAGCGTTGGGAGGGAAACTATAATTAGAATAGACAAAGAGAGGTCTTGGATCTAGATTCTCGTTTTACCTGCCTCTAAAAGAATAGTAATAAATAACTGAATCTGAGTAACTGGAAATACTTATGAGCAATGATGATGAGTTTTAAAATGAATTCGAAATTACTGATACTAATAGATCATAGGGGAGTGCAGTAACTAAAAGGGATTACATATAAGTTTTAAATGAAACAGCATCTAAAAATCTCAATTTCAATGTAATACTTTCACCTAGGTTATTGTCGGATAGAATAGTTGAAACTGGCTAAATAAATTATGATACTGAAAGGATTAGTGAAGAGCAAAAGAGGAATAATCCAACTTACCCTTAAATATTGATAGTTGATGATACAGTGTTTAATGTAGAAATTCTCTCAATAATACTAAAAGACATGTTTAAGCTCGAATCAGATAAGGCATTTTGTGGAAATCAAGCTATAAAAATGATTTAGGAAAGAGCTGAATTACAAGATATGGATAATAGAGTGTAGATGTATAAATTTATATTGATGGATATAAATATGCCTGGAATGGATGGAGTTCAAGCTACAAAGACTATTAGGGAGTAATTTTCATACTATTTTTAAGATAATTTGTAAAAAATATATGCCTACACTGCTATACCTGAGAATTAATTAGGAAATCTACAGCAATGTGGATTTAATGGTTATTTACCAAAACCTTTGTCTTATTTGCTTTTGGAGGAAGTATTGAGAGATATTTAGATTTTGAAGTGAGAAAGGTCCAGCTAAAAGCAAATTTACATTTTAATAATAATCAAGTGATTTTGATGTTATTATATATTATTAATTTCAAAATTTTCAATTTTTAGTTCAATCAAAAATAATGTATTCTGGGGTTTTGGGGTTTTGGGG